CTGATATTTTGTCAAATAACATACCTTCAGAGATGATCATCAGTGAATATGGACCAGGTAGCATATGCTCTAATGTTTCAAACTATAAAAGTAAAGAAGATATCAAAGGAATATATTTCTCTTATTCTAAAAATGCTGTATTGGAATTACTTAACCTTAAGACATAAGACATTTCTATTTATACATCATCAATAATTACCTAAAAGTCAACAGGCAAAATAGTGCAAATAGAGAAATAAAACTGCAAATGAAAAGATAGGTTACTCATTGCGTCACAACTTTCATATCCTCACATGGTTCCTTTTTCTCTCTGCTTGTATTTCTATCAGTAAAAATGATAAAGTCTTTAAAATGGCCACACATTTGAAAAATTGAAAGTATCTCTTGTAGTGCAACTTTGTAGGTTACCTCTGTTTTGTTTTGAGGTCTTATAGCTATATAAGTTGTAAAGACAAATAATAATGCAATTATATCTGTAGTAATGGAAATCTGTTATGTCCAGTGGTATGCAATGATTATCACCTATAGAAAGAGTTCTTTTCCATCTGTTTGTGAATTCACTTCAGCATTATTTATCTGCTTGCATGGGTATGGCATTTTGAGTTCTCCTTTGAACAACTGTATCATCTTCCTGGTTCCCTCATTAACTACTGAGTTAAACAAAAGTTATATTTGTATGAGAGTCATACTGATAAATATAATTTTTAAAAGGTGAAACTTCTTTTCCTTCATTTTTAACTCCCATTTGTAATTGAAGTATGCAGTGAAGATGAAAGAAATCCTATTTATTTTCCTGTTTCTGCATTTCTTCCTCTTCTTTTGGCACAAAAAAGGAATCTGCATGCATTGTAGTTTATTTAGATTTTAATAATCTTTGTAGGTTTTTCTAGAAAATGCCCAGTGAATCTACATATAAACTGCTTTGCTAGGTAAGTGTACCTCATGAATAAACTAAAGCCATACAAGTGTAGGCATGTGTTTTTCTTGGCTTTCGGAGTGATTACTGAGAGGTGATTAAATTGCTTGCTCTGTTTCTCTCGTTTTGTGGTTGTGTGTGGTTTTGATATGCTTGCAAGTGATAAGTTATTTGGCAATGCAGCCAGCAATGATTGGAAATTTGATTTTGTTCTCTGACCATTGGGTGATCACTACAAATAAATTAATGGTTTATAGAGCTCTATCCTCTATTGGGGTAAGAAAGAAGGAGATTCTAGTTCACCAATCCTTTTTGCCTATTTATTTTAAGTTCAAACTAGTTAAGAATTCTATACCCCTCTGATAGAACAGTTCTTTGACATTTGGGCCAGTGTGTTTTTGTGTTTCCATGTCTCATATATTTTTGAAATGTGACTAAAATCTGTATATTACATATCTGTATGTTTCTGACTCTGTAAATGAGGATGGCTTTAGGTCTAGTTGTGTGTGTGTGTTGTTTACTTGTCTTTAGAAATATTAATGTAAAATCTCTTAAATGGGGGCCTCCCCGGTGGCGCAGCGGTTGAGCGCTGGGTTGTGAAGCTGCCCACGGCCTCTGCGGCACCGGTTCGATCCACGGCTGCTCCCCCGCCACCGGAGGAGGGTCCCACATGGCGCGCAGACCTCTCCTGCCGCCCGCTGCTCCCCTCAGCAGTGTACTTCGCTCCTTCTGCCTGCTCTGCTCCCCGCTCTGGCTCTGGTGAATTCTCTCACCCTCCCGCGCTTCTGACTGTACCCAGTGCATGTATAAACAAAACAAACAAACAAATAAAATAAATAAATAAAACATGCCTCTATTAAAAAAAAAAAAAAACCCAAAATATAAAAAAAAAAAATAAAATCTCTTAAATGGTTCTGTTTTAACTGGATTACAAAGATAAATGTGCTTAAATAAATTGAATAGCCACAAAATAAGGAAAATTGCTAGACAATGATATTAAGTTTCTAATACTTTTAATCTGTTTCTCTGTCTCTATCTCTCTTTCTCTCAATACATGTAAGATATTTCAATATATTCTTAACGGAAACTAACTCAGAAACATACTTAGAATGTAATTGTGTACTATTGTGGTAAATCTCTGGCATATGTCACTAGTTTAATAATTTTGATTCAATAAACACCACTATCTAGCCTCTCATTTGTATTAATGATAACAGAAAGATGCATTATATAACTTGGGTTTGTTTTTTCATAAACTTATTCAAATTTGCCAATGCAGTAAGCTAGAATTTTCCTACAAAATTTTTGATTATGAAAAACATGCACATGTATTCTACTAAATCAGATCATTTTACTTCACACTGTTTATTTCAACTAGTTTTATAGAATTTGGAGATACTTTATAAAACCTTTAAGTAATTTATAACCTTGATCTGATATTAAATTAACTAATGGATAACCATTAGATATATGGTTATTTTCATGTGAGAAACTATTACTGAGCATAATTTTAAGTTCTTTAATTCTTTTACATATTATAGATACACTATATAACTTGAATCAGGCTTATTTTTGTCATTTTATAAAGATGAAAAAGAGATGTGTATAGCTGTAGAAAGGTGTTTTTTATGTATTCACAGTCTTTGTTTATCTGTTGAAGTTTTTGGGTTTGCCAGAGTTCTCAATTACCTTCACTCAGTATTCTCTGCAGTAGAAGTTGGTTATTTCTGCTGCACGTTTTAACTAAGAAGAATGGTTGAAACTACAGATAGAAGCACCAGAGACTTATCCTTTTACTTTATATTTATTTCATGTCCAGATGAAGTCCTTTACACTTTGGGGATATATTAAGGACCCAAAGCACTATCTCTGTAGATTATAACTATTGGTACTTAACATTTTAGAAATCAAAGATGAGAATTTCTTTAATTTTATCACCTGAATATAGCAATGAGGACCACATTCCCTGTTGCTGGAAATAAGAATATTGATATAAAATGATTCCTTTATTTATTTGTTTTGTTTATTTATGCATACAAGAACTGCGGTGTAGGCCAGAGGTGCAGTGGAAGGAGTGAGAGAATTCATCAGAGACAGAGTGGGAAGCAGAACAGCCAGATCTACTGAAATACACGCCTGAGGGGAGCAGTGAGCGAGACAGGGGAGGTCTGCTGTGCCATGTGGGTTAGCTCCATGGCCAGGAATAAAACTCGTGCTGCAGTGGCTATGGGGTAGCTTCATAGTGCTGCAACTTAACTCCTTTGCCACCAGGGAGGCCCCAATTCTTTCTTATTAATACCTTAAGCCTGTTTTAAGGTCCTGTTTGTACAAAATACAAAAGAACATAATAAAGGACAAAAACTTGTAAAGAAAAACTCATTTCTCTTAGTTTATAATACTTAACTCTGAAAAGAAACTATGAAATGTATTAAAAAACATAATTTGCTTGATTTTGATTGACTTCAGTCTCTGTTCCTTGGTTTATTGATTAATACCCTCACCTATAATAAATTCTTCTACTTTCAGTGTAATCCTCCTAGACAGCAAAGATTTTTTTTTTGACCAAATTAATTATGTGTTTTTTGTTGACTTTGCCTGTATCTTTGGGAAAACAAAACAAAACAAATTGACCATAGTTTCTTCACTTATAAATAACAAATATTCTCTAAAAGTGTGCTACTATTTTTGTATTTTTAAGTGTTTTCTCTTTGATTAAATATATACTCAGATATATTTTTAGGATCCCATAACTCTATTTTATCAAATGTCCAAATTTCCTAAGATGTCTTTTTTTTTAAATTTTTTTAAAAGATTTATTTATTTATTTATACAAGCACTGGGTACAGTCAGAAGCGCGGGAGGGTGAGAGAATTCACCAGAGCCAGAACAGGAAACAGAACAGGCAGACTGACAATACACTGCTGAGGGGAGCAGTGGGTGGCAGGAGAGGTCTGCGCGCCATGTGAGACCCTCAACTAGTAGCCCGGGGATAGAACCAGTGCTGCAGAGTCTCTGGGCAGCCTCACAACCCAGTGCTCAACCGCTGCACCACCAGGGAGGCCCAAGATGTCTTTTTTTTTAAAAAAAAATAAATATTTTGACTTTCCAAAAATCATGTTCTCTAAAAAAAAAAGGGACATATTTTACACCTGAGATATTATCAAAAATTTTCAGATGGGCTCAAAAATCTCAAAGATTATTCTTTCACCTTACAGAAAAGCTGTTAAAAACTAGTCTTGTTTTTCAGTATTGTAACTGTTACGAGGAAACCGTTGTCAAATAAGAAAAGACAACTATTCTTTCTTAGGTTACATTTCTACTGGCAAAATATGACTATAAACTGTTCAGAATTTGTATGCTTTATGGAAAGTCCCTGGAAGTTTGTCATTGTACTCAATTTCCAAATATATTTTAACCTTGAAGTAAATACTAATGAAAAATCTGCCAACTTGTTTTATAATTAATAGTGCTCTGACAGTGCTTTGCCTGAAATTAGACAACAGTGTCTTCAGTCAAAATTTCAGCTATTCTTTAAACTATTGCTTAACCTAAGATGTCCTTCTTTGATATGAATTTATATTTTGTATACCAAGGGTTCTCAATTTAGAGTGTATACTAGACTTACCCATGAAGTTTTAGAAAATATACTACTAAGCCTTATCCCAAACTTACTGAATCTCTTTGCTTGATAGTCTTTTTTTTTTTTTAATAGAGGCATGTTTTTATTTATTTATTTGTTTGCTTTGTTTATACATGCACTGGGTACAGTCAGAAGCACGGGAGGGTGAGAGAATTCACCAGAGCCAGAGCGGGGAGCAGAGCAGGCAGAAGGACCGAAGTACACTGCTGAGGGGAGCAGCGGGCAGCAGGAGAGGTCTGCACGCCATGTGGGACCCTCCTCAGGTGGCCGGGGAGCAGCCGGGGATCGAACCTGTGCCACAGAGACTGCAGGCAGCTTCGCAACCCAGCGCTCAACCTCTGCGCCACCGGGGAGGCCCTCTTTGCTTGATATTCTTGGTATAAAATGCATCTCGGAATTATGTTATAGCTCAAGATATATAACAATTTGTTTAATTATCTTTGGAATGACTTTATTACCTTTGTTTTTCTTGCCACAGACATAACATTTTCTTTCCAGTTGTATTATTCTTATGAATTTTCATTTTTGAAAGTTATCACTAATAAACTAACCACAGTAAATTTACATATTTGCCACACACAAATAATGGTCTCTTGAGGGAAGAGAGTTTGACTGTTCTTATGGTATAGGTCCACCCAAGCTTATGGATAGTAAAGAGAGCCAGTTCCTTACATGTCAGCAATCGCCTCAGATGTTAGGTAAATTGAAAAAAGAGTAATTCACCCAAATTTATAGACAGAGCTGGTGAAATCTGGCAGAGACCTTCTCTGGGATCTGATTTGTGTCTCAAGTTGGCAAAAAACACAGGCTTTTAAAAATGCAATTCTAGATTCCTATAAAATCTCCAGGCAAAAGTTAAGTGTATGACCTTAGTGATTATTCAGTACTGAATGGTTAACAAATTAGATAAAATGAACATGTTCCTGGGAAAATGCAAACTACTAAAACTGCTCAAAGCAAATAAATGTAGATAAGTACTAATTGAAGAAATTGAATCAGTAATAAAATTACTCATATCCGTCAGGTCCAGATGCTTTCACTGCTGAGTTTCACCGAACATTCAAAGAAGGAATATAAACAACTCAAACCATTTATCGCTCCCATTGTCATATAAAAATTAAATGTATTAGATCACACATATTTGTGCATGTACACCTGTGTATACCATATATTTTTTCTCTTTTTATACATAAGACATACAAGTTATTACAGTGTCCTTTCTAGTGCACCCTTCTGGTTTTTAAACCTTTCCTTATTTTGAGATTTTTACAATTCTATAAACTGATAAGTTTCCTTATTCTTGATTATTGAAATAAAAATTATTTAGTGGAATGCAACTGATTACTGCCCTAAAGATAGAGCTATTTTATATCTCTTTATAAGTTCATTTTGGCATTTCTTAAATTCATCCAAATTATATTTTGAATTCTCCTTTGAATGGTTGTGACATATTCTGGTTCTCTCACTAATGAATGAATTGAAAAAAATCTTCAACATGTTTTCATTTAATATTTGTGTGAGTCATAATTATGCCCTCTTTTAAAATTATCTTCAAATATTTCTTTTCTTTTTTTCTTTCTGCTCTTCAATACAAATCACACAATAGGAGAAAGGAGACACATCCCCACACATTTTGCTGTTCTGTTTACCCTTCCCTTTCAGTTTAGGAAGAAGCTTATATTTGTAATTTTTTAGCTTAAAAAACAAATTCATAAATTTAAAATGTTGATTTGTGGAATGATTTAATAGTTTATTGAAGTCTTTAAAGAAGGTAATAAAGTCATTGATTCTGAGAATTGTTTTACTGACTGCTGTAAAGCACTATGCTTTTGTTACATTATTCAGAACTTTAGCAAATATGAGTGAAAAATCAAATTTAACTCATAACTTTAATGTTTTCATACTGCCAAAAAATAGGGAAATACATGAACTAGGCATAACATGAGTTGTTTTAATGCTCAGAACATCTAATGTATGTTTTTCAGATAAAAGAAGTGGTGGCTTCTATGAGCAAATTAAAACAAGAGAAAATTAAAATAAGTTCACATTTTACAAAATTGTTAAGCAATAAATACAGCACTATAGCTGCCACAAAGTCTATGCACATTGAATTACATTTGAACAAAATCTAAATTCCTGATGGATATTTATTGCCTAAATAAATGGATAATAACATAGCAGATTCATATCTTTTAAAAATTAAAATGGAATTTTCACAAGTATTTGCAGAAAATTAGCAAAACTACATTTTAAAAGGTAGAGTTTTCTAAAATCAGGTTTTAGATACCAAAAAACTAACACCAATTATATATAGGCTAATACACCGAAGACTGTACAATAGATGATTTCTGGTCATAAAGAAAATCTGTTCAAAACTTAACAAAAGCACATAAAAATTCACCTGAAAATGAAAATATAATTTTAATACCATGCTAGCTGTTATTCAACATTGTCTATGAAATATGTGGTTAAGACTTGACAGTTGCCTGGAAAATTCTGAAATATGTGAATGTCAGCAAAAGATTTGAATTTGTGTCTTTGAATAATAAATAAGTAAAAGGTGAGGTGAGTGTATTTAAAGGAATTTTTGTATAATTTAGATATTAGAAAGTCCAGAACAGCCTGTGTTCCTTGGTATGACCATTTGCTATGAAATCCATAAATTTTAAACCAACTTAAAAAAACTTTACAAGTAGATATATAAATTATAAAATATAAATGTATTGACCAAGCCATTTAATATGTTAATTCCTACTAACTTACATAATTTTCCTGGACAATTTCAAATGACTTAATTTCTCATCCTCTTTGACTAGAAACAACCTATAATGACTAAGTCATTAGTTTAATCCATTATAAGTAGATTGACCTACTGTAAGAACACAAATACATAATTTGTCTCCCAAAATTTACTAATTAAAAACACTTTTATTTTTTCAAAAATTCCAGTAGAAACGATTATTAAGGAAATGTAATCCCATTTCAAAGTCAATTTATCTTCGGAATTTCTTCCATCTTAATATATTTGATAACCATTCTGACATCCTTAATGATATATTCAAGTCTCTCTGATTTGTATTATCACATACAGTAGATTTATTAAAATATTAAAGCATTGTATATGATATATAGTATTCCTCTAATTTTTAAAAATAAGCTGGAACATTTCCAAAATCATGTATCTTCATATGTGTCGGAAAAGTAGTGTTTTTAATTAGGTAAAAACTATGTGAGTAGTGTATTGGCATTTATTACAGTAGGAGTCATTTAAATTTTCTGAATTAGAATACAAGTTCATTGTCAAACCTACCTATTATTAAGGTATGAGTCACCTAAGCTAATATATTCAATAAAATAATGGCCTTGAGTTTTTAAATAAATATTTCATTTCTCATCATAGATATTTCTGTTCTCTTATTTCTCAAGTTTCTGATGCTGGCATCTGGTTGTCTTTAAAATATTTACCAAATATAGAATTCCAGACTCTATTTTGTTATAAAATCTGCCCAGACACAGTATCAGATATTAACGTGCATACATCGTGACATTGTGTATTTGTTTTTTTTTTTTAAAAAGCTTACCTAGATCGCATGGATTTGAGACTATAAAATAGAATAACATATTTACAAGCTCATTTTTCACAACACTTTTTTACAAGCTTCCAAGAAAATAAGAAATCCTTCATTGATTTCCTTCATGTAAAATAATTGCTAATTTGTCTACACAGTAGAAATGGAAGGGACAAAGGTTCTATTTACAGATATAGGGAAACTGATTCCACCTATTTGTGTAGTAAGATGGAAAAATAGATGACAAGGTGTTTGGGGTATCAACCAAGATGTCTCCCTAATGATACTAAAGTAGAATTGCATATCATACAACTAGTCATCATCTCAAAAATGGATATAACACCAGATATAACTGTGATGTATCAGCAAATGAGTAGTTAATAGGCATTCTACTAAGTTTTTTTTTTTTTCCTGGGGAGAAGAGAATGAGCCAGCAAAACTAATTCTCTCTCTATCTCATCCATTTGAAAGGGTGAATACAAAAAGGACTGGGGTACTTTCTGAGGGGAAAAAGGTCAAGCTAATTTTCCCTCTGAGTCAGAAGGTCTAGCTAGGTCTCTTTGAGCAACTTTAGGAGTTGAATCCTGCCTAATATGTATATGAATCTTTACAGTCTTATTTTGTGAATTCATGCTGTGGCTGCAAGTGGCTTAAACTGACCTATAAGTATTGATCGAGATCATCTTTTTTCAATTCCTCATTAGGTGATGTCAAGTTGGTAACTTGAAATCAGCCATGGTAGTAGTATTTATATCAGAGAAACTGGTAAACATTACAAATGGATATTTTCCCCTGTAGAGTTGTCTGTTAAACATTTGTCAATACTATATGAGTTTGTCTGAGAGTTTTCCTTGTATCATTCAAGAAATGCATTTAATACTGAAGTCTTCTGGCTGTAAAGTCATGGATTCAAGCCTTTGAGTTAGGAGTGGCAAACAGTTAATCAATGTGCCCACTTTTATCAATCATATAACTTTTCTAGCTTTAAGACTACATTTTCAACATCATGGATGCTTTTTCCATTTAAGTGTTCACTAGGACAGTCATGACTATAACCTGTACCATCACTGATTGTTGACACTGTGTAAGATGCACTGCGAAGAGCATCTGAGTGGGAAAAGCTGTTTCCAAATTGGATTCTGTATTGATTCCAGTTTCTTCTCAGGATTGCTTGAACCTATCAATTGAAAAGAAAAAAAGGACAAAATCAGTCCATTAATTGAGATGAAAATATTATGTTTAATAGTACCATAAAAAATAAGCTATGTATAGAAGATTTTTTAAAGAATTGTTAAGTAATGCATAATGCTTTGTTTAGATAGTGTAAACTAACTTTACCTCATAAAGATCACTTAATTCTTCTTTACTTTTGGAATCCATTAATATTTTACTTTCCATGTCTTAGGTTTTTTTTTTTAATTTTTATTTATTTTTGTAAGAACTAGGATGCAGGCCAGAGATGCGGGGTGTTAGAGGATTCACCAGAGACAGGGTGGGGAGCAGAACAGGTAAATTAGATGAGACAGGAGAGGTCTGCTACTCCATATGTGGGTTAGCTCCCTGGCTGGGAATTGAACTTCCGGCCTTTTCGGTGTAACCCTTAGGCTACCAGAGAGGCCCTCCATGCCTTAGTTTTGAAGCTTTAAAAATGTGTGTGAATATCTAATTGTCAAATACTTAATCCAGATCCCCCACCTACAAAATTTATTTAGATATACATTAATATCTTTATTAAAGAAACAGAAGATAATTAATGAAAGTTTACAGAAAGAGAGAAAAGAAAAAGAAGTTAAGGATAAAGGAAGTGTAAATAATCACCATCATCATAGCAGTAGCAGCAACAACTTTTTGCTGAGTGGTTACTAAAAGCCCAGATTGTGCTATATTCTGGGAAATAAAAGAGCATGACTTTTGTTTGCATGAACTTACTACCCAGATTAAACAAATGGAAAACTTAATATGAAAAATAATGTCAGAAATTTCACCACTACACATTTTTTTTTCTTGGACCTCCTCTGCTTAATGAATTTGAAGTTTATCACTTCCTTTCTCTCTGAGAATAGAGACCCAGGTTAGGTTGCCTATATGTAGTTCATGATTTTCATTGCTATAAAACTCAAAGGTGATTTTCTTCATACTGAATTAGTAAATGCAAATAAGAAATTCAAAAACATCTCCAACTTGACCACATCACATTTCTTAGTGTCTAATGAGTAAAAAGACTGGTTTGGGGCAATCTTCTTCTAGGTTATAAATGTATTAACTACATCCCTATCCCTGATCTATATCTTTATAAAGCATGTATAGTTTTGAACTGTCTTCTACACTCTACTGCTCTTTGACCCTTTAGTTTTTTTCCAAAGGAAGGATAAACATCTGAAAGCAATTTTTCAGTAATTCATGTATTATAACATATTCATGCAATACTTAACTTTCTGCTATTGATTATACAGAATTCTTCAGTTTTTTGCTCAGTGCAATCATGTACAGAAATTATTATTAAATGATCATGTATAGAAATCATATTAAACTTGATTCAGTCACCATGGAAAGGGAAGCCAGCCAGGTGTTATTAAAACTATGACAATGTCTTTCATTATTTTACATGACTGTTACATAAATAGTGAGGCCAACTGTTTAGAATATTTTCAATAACATTACAACCTTGGTTTGATAAGGAACCAATGCTAGACTTCTCAGCCTAAATCAATTAAAAGATACATAGTAGAGCTACATATAAACCAATTACCTAGTTCTCATTGTAGAATGTGAGTTCAGTTATTTACAACAATTTTTTTCACTTTATAATAATTTCTACTCTGAGTTGTTAATTATATCCATGTGACTAGGGAGGTCCCCTTCTGATGAGTAAAGTTTCCAGCTTATGTTAACAGTGAATATTTCTGTCTGAGTGGATAGGATGAAAATGACCTGAGCACTTGTCAAGCCACAGTTATTTAACTAGTGAGAAATGCAAATAGAAAGAGTTTGGCTTAAAATTAAAATAAATAAAATGTGAGATTAAATAAATAGAAATATTAAGCTAAAGGCAAGATGTTTGATGTAATGCAGAAAGCAAGAAAGAAACATAGTCTGAGCAAACGATTTTTAAGAAGTACATGACATAGTTGGAAACACAGAAAATTAATTTGGCAACTGTCTTCATCTTATGAGAGTGGGAAAAACTAAGAGCCAAAGAGACAAAAAGGAGGGATCATCGTATTTCTTAACATGAGAAGTGAATCATACAAAAACAAGGATTCTATCTTGAGAGATTAAAAAATAGGGGTGAGTACTGGAGATGTGAGGAGATGAAGGATTTGGCAATGACTTGGCTCAAAGATTTTGTATTATTGTAATATCCATCTGCCAAAATTTTCTCAATTTTAGGACATGGCAGAAGATCAAAGTCTGTGTCTCTTTTTCTTATAAGATAAAGAAAAGTGCTAAACTTTAGCTTAGATAATCCTTGGGCACTCTTTCTAAGGAGAGGGCCTATTTGCGATCTTAGTCCAACATGATTAGTGTTTCCACTTGCACATGTATTTTTTTGAAAAGTCATTTGACAAATGGAATCAAAATCTATAATATACTGAGTGTCTATCAAGGAATGCAAAATCTTTACGTTTCATGTTTACATTAATCCTTGTGAGTCTTGCATAAGGAACTTGCTTTTATTTCCTTTTAATACAAGTAGACACCGAGATTCTGGGAGTTCCATAGCATTTTCCAGGAATATTACAGCCAGGGGCAAAGTAGCATCTTTGGAATTTAAATGTATTGCCATGTCAATGCCTTAATTCAACACTGTCTCTTATCACAAAATATTTTGCTAGTGCTGAAAGTTTGTACACTTAAAAACTGCCTTTATAAAAATCCAGTCTGCTCTGAGATGCCCAACTGCACTATTCATGTTGACCCTTGTTCATAGGCATGTTGTCTCATCAATATTTAATGACAAAATCCTATGTAGACTGTATTTAGGATTGTCTAATTCAATTATGACAATAATAAATCCTTGGTGGTACATACTAACTGCTATTGAGTGTGATTATCAAAACAAGTGATTTATCAATTATTCCTAATTACGATCTGCCTATACTTCTCATTGATGTCTGGGAGATGGCCTCTCTTGTCCTCCTTCCAACAGAAAAATCATAAAACACCCATTAAAACAGGAAAAACTTTCTGCTGACATGTGACAGTGCTATGTCCCATTACAAATAAATATGTCCATATTTAAAGCTAAATATATTTATATTTTAATTAAAAATTAAACATGAAATTTTAATATATGTTATGAGAAAAAAGCAAAATATTATTCAAATATGGGAAAGCAACATTTTATAATTTTTCATGGCATGTATATGATTTTCAAATTGACTTGTTTATTGGAATGGTTCTTATAAAGTTATACCAACTGTTTCCAGATGTTTCCCATATGAAAATCTGTGATATGCTTTGCTGTTACCAAGTGTCCCAGTCCATTCAGTTTCTGTCAGGATTTCTAAACTTTGTTGCATTTTGCTAAAAGCCTCAGGTTAAAATTTATCAAGTAGATTAAAAGCACAAAGAGCTAAAATCGGTGTAGCTCAAACCACTGAACTATATAGCACTGTTGATATGTAGAAGCAATTAGATACTGGTTTATGAAATGCCTGAAACTTTCCAATTAGGAAAGTCTTGGATAAAAATCTTGAAATAGTTAAGAGCACATTGTCATGTTATGAGCTAGAACATTCTATTTTCCTAAGTTTCCTAAATGACTCTATATACACCCTGTAAAACAGAGAATTTACTCCACTTATATCCTTTACTATCCACCAAGAAGCTGTTTTTAAAGACCACATTATAGGCCAGCATCCCTCACCCCTGGGACCAAAAAAAAAAAAATTTGGAGAGGATGAAAACGGGCCAACTATATTTTGTAATAGAGTGTATGTTCTATGAGGTAAAGGATGCCTGACACTGTACCTAGGACAAAGCCCAGAATTAAAGGGATTATTCAAAAGTTAGATCAAAAGATTGGTTGAATAAAAGTCACTAATGGAATATTTTGAAGAGTGACTGATGTGCTCTATCCTTGAACTGCAATATGACCTGGGCTTTTGGTTGGAGAGTTGGATCTATAAAAGAGATTCTATGTATCTTCTTTCTGATAGAAATGAATTTTGAAATAGTTATTTCAAGGTATATATATATTTCTGTCTCATTTCTTAAAGGAAAATCCATTTAGTAAATATAAAATGGTAAAAGGAATAAAATGAAGCACCATACCTCTCCATTAAAGAAGCAGAAAATTGTAGAAACCAAAAGACCCTGTAAAAGAAAAATAGATTTATCTCATTCCAAATGGAAAGACCCATTATTTATAACCAACTTGCTACATATATAGTCAAAAGTAAAACCATAGCTGTATATAACTTTAATGCCAAAAGCACCATACCTGATAGTGCATGAGGATGTGCATGATGTAGTCATATACCTCCTCTGCAATCCTTCCTTCAGGTCGCCAAGGAATAAGCACAAATTCAATGCCCAATAATGGCACCAGGATAAGTGTAGCCCTTACAGCTTTCATGTAGAGATTGGATTCTGCTTGGTGAGTAACTTTTAATTTGGTGATGAGAACACGTACAATATTTAGCAGGAAGAAAAGATTCACCTATAAGAAAGAAAGGGCTTATGAAAATGAGTTCATATTGAAGTAAAGAAGCATTATTGAAAAGTATTTAATTAAAAAAAATCTTAAGATTTTCTCATATACACGGATATTTTAAATGAATATTTATGTAAGATATTAATTTATATTTCTGGAATTATGATTGAGTAATTTGATAAATACATCCATTTTAATGGATTTAAGATTAGAAAAATAAAGTGGTGGTAGAGCTACTGTGGAACATTTTCAACTGAGTGTTAATTTCAGCTTCATATCATTCATTTTTCATGGTCTCTAAACTAAAGTCTTGGATATTTTCAAACTCAAAGAAGGAAAGAATTGTTTATAACAAGTGTTAACAGTTGGAAGTGTCTCCTCTGTATATCCACGCAACATACTTGTAAACATTTATAATGTAATAATAACCATTTTCTCCCATTTTGTATATCCTTCCTGTGTTTCTTTTTATAAGAATATTCCTCACAATTTCCCAAGATAATACTGTAATCCTCTTTATCCTTATGAGTGACTGAGTCACATATTTGAACCAATTGATATTCAATTCAGGTCATCCAGAGATGAAACAATTTTGGTGCTTCACAGGGTCTTCTGTTAAATGCTTTCTCTAATTACACATTGACTGTGTGATAACAGCTTTCCCAAATGGAAAACATTCTCTGAATGGAAGACACAAAACTTCAAAATTGAAGTGTAGATATAACTAAGTGCCTCAGGAAACAGTTCTGCTGAAATATTCATTTCTTTCTTACTGCCACTGTTTACTACTTTCTCTCTTTCTTATCTTCACCCAAGTCATTATCTTTCACAGTTGTCATTTTCTCTATATCCATTCTTTATACTGTCCAGAGCATTATGGTCATTAACAGATGAACCCCTTAGCAGCTAAATGGTATTTTTTTCCTTGTTTTCCTACCCTAACTTCCACCATGTGTGCTTTGTTTAATAATCAAAAAATTTTAACTGTAAGTTAATATATAATTTATATTCACACACCTTAATAAATTATGCAAATGATGGTATTATTTCATTTTAATACAGAAAAAATTCACAAATATACACTTGCTGATTTAAGGCATTTGTTATAAAAAGAAAGGCATAAATACTCTGCTACTATTCATAGAGGATTCAGTGCAGTATATGCTTCAGAAATATACAGGTTATTATTATCCTGATGGAAATACATCTATGTAAAATAACATATTACAGACACAGGAATGTCTGTGCTGGACAAAAACAGAATAAGCTATTTCAACAGGTGTAACAATGAAGTGTGACAAATCAACATATCAGCTGTTATTCCACCACCCATCCGACCATATTCCCTTCCTCAGCATTCATGATTGTTTGCTATTTTAGTTTGCATTCAATGGAAACTACACAGTCTATAGAAGAAAAGATAATGCCCTTTTATCTGTTTGTACATTTGAAACATAGAGTATAGTATAATCCTAGTGTGAAAAAACCATAAAAAATAGAAATGTAATTTAGATCACCATTATATGAAAATAATTAAATGCAAAGCTGTCTTCAAATGGCAAGACTGATTTAAAACATCAAGCTAGAAACTCACACCTACTTATTTGCAAATACTTAATTTTAAATAAAAATAGAATAAAAATTTTAATCTGATGACTCTATCTGAATCTCATCCATCTTAGTGCACTAGTTAGAAATGAAAAAATTTATTTCTTCTCTAAGAGCTATAAAGTTCACAAATCTGATAAGCACAACAATACATTTTCATATCAAACACTCCCCTAGGATCATGAAAGAAGCAATGTGAACCAGAACAAGGACAGTAGAAACCCTCCACACACCAGAACAGCCAGCACTCACTTTGCACTGAAGTGACTGAAACATGTCTCATTAAGCTCAAATAAAATATACCTCTTCTTAATTTCCCCTTTGCAGGACCTCAAAAATACTCTAGTTACTTCAATACTAGCCTGCACAAGGGGAAATGTGACAGAGGAAGTCTGAGTGGAAAGAAGCTGATTGCTGTTGAAATATTTATAAAATTTGTGCAAAATCATGTGACGATGTAAACGATTGCTACAGCCCTTCCCAAAATGGTGGAATTGGCCAAGACCAGTGAGGAGCCCTAGAGCTTAAATAAGAGCAGTACAATATATCCTTGTAATCCTGGTATTTTTTCAGGTCATCATATGGAAAAAGTTTTATGCAAATAGTATGGATTTCCGCTTCTTTCTCCCTGAGCAGTGTGAATGGACTATATTCCTATTTTATATTTTACCCTAATTGTATCATTTATTCTTCCCTGCCAGAGTAGATGTGAACAGGCTTTTCCAAGGATTGCATTAGTTGCTGTTACATTTTTTCCATTTGTAAGGTGCTTTTGCCCATTTCTTGAACCACTCTGCCAATGGTGTTTGAATCAAATGCCCTTCTGCAGAGTCATATCTCTTGTGATAAAATTTTGCCTTGTATTTTTTCTGTACGCTTCTTGGTGGCTCAAAGAACGTATCTTAATTTCTTTGCACTCTTCTCAGAACAGAGTCATGATATCATGTAGAAATTACAAGTGAAGAAACTTTTCAAAGCATTTTTTCAAGACTATTATATTCTAGCCACTATTTTAATTGAATAACAGGATATATCTCATTTAATGCTTATAGTGTACCATGAGATTCTTATTCTTACTATTCCATAGTCACAAATGAGAAAAAAAAAATGTGCAGAAACTTTTAAAGCAAAACAAAACAGATCTTGCCCTAAGATACACAGCCAGCAGTGGTGGAGCTAGATTTAATGCTGGCACTTAGAGGACAAGCCAGAGTAAGATAGACCGCCTTCAGATTAAACAATGTGTCACACATTTCCCTACTATCCTGGAAGCAAGAGGAAGGAATGCTCCTGCCTCTGAAATTTGCACTAGCATCTACATGAAGATATATTAAAATTTCCATAGAACATCTATTAAATTCCATGTGTTGCTATTTTTAACTTGCTGTCTCAAATTTGTGGCCAGGCACAAATCAGAAATTTGATACTTGCTGTGTGCTTTACACACACCAGGCTAAGTATTTTTTATGTTTTAACTCATTTAATTCCTTTGTTAAAAAAAATTAAAAATCCCCTTTTTTACATCCTGTATTTTATAAATGAGTAACCCGAAGCACTAGAATTACACAACAAATGAGAAGTGAAAGAAGAGTTCAGACTCAGGAAGTCACCTTCAGAATTTATTCTCTTCAGTATGACACTTTTGAGAATGACTTCATAATATACCTAAGCATGGATTGAACAGTGTTCTAACATAAGCATATAGTAAATCAAAGCTAACAGTAAAATAATAGAATATTTGTCAAAAAGAAGAGTAAAAATAAGGCTCAGGTAACTTTGAATTTTGGCTGAGAAGCATCCCACCTTCGTGTTTTCATATTTATAATTTAATATCAGCTATAATCACAATCTTAGAGACTTGAATTGAATTCTGACCTCTAATGTTCCATGAGAGAAAATATGTTAATTTGAATTAATTCATTTCCCCATTCAAATGATTAAATAAAAGTATTGAATGTGACTGTTCTTGCCATGCAGTTACACTTAAAATTGTCCAATTGGTGCACTTGTATTAAGTGCACCATTATAATAATAAGCATGGTGACCATTATAATAAAAAGCACCAGTTTAAGAAGATACTATTTTTTTAAATTATTGGAACATTACTTTATTGCCAACATGAGCAGGTAGATTTTTTTTGTGTTTCGCATGCCACCCATACTCTTGTTTGCTCTCTGCCCCAGGAGGCTGAACTCCCAGACATTCTTGCCTCTAACATTTGCTGTGTATGGCCAATGGGAAAAACCAAAGACATCAGAACATGGGAAGGATGAGAAGTTTTCTTTCCCCTTATTTTCCCCTGCTAGTCTGTGGTTTGGGCAGTGGCTTTGGTCCTTGACTTCGGGTTCCTGTTGGGTGACCCTTCTAGTTGCTCACTCAATTCCAGCAACACTGTCCTGTTCCCACTTTGGATCCAGCCATGGTCATGCCTTGCCACTGCTGGTCCCTGGTGCCTTGCCATACTGTATGAATTAATACCTTTATCTCAAATATAACTGGCATTAAACCCTTTTCAATTAAATACTGAGTACATCATCATTGTGTTCACCAGTGATTCCCCCATGGGGATCCTAAAGGATAACACAAGCCACATGATTCATGAACTAAAAATGAAATGTAAACAACTAATGAATGAGAAATACATACCAATAGAGCTGCACAAATTGGGCCATGGATAATGTAGAGGAGGTGGGTATCAGAACTGATCCAGCAGCTAGGGGGAGAAAAAACAAGGAAATTAAAGAGTTTTGTTTTACATGATTCAAATCAAAATCTTCAAGAGAGATTATCTTACTTGTCATTGTAGTACAAACATCTAGCAATAGCATGTATGCAAGCAGGAATCAGTGGAAATCCTGTAAATATCAAAGACAAAGAAAATAAATAGATGACCTTTTCTATAAGTGTAAAATATGTCATGAAATATGAAATCACAGATACTCTAGGAGCAAAAATAACTGGTCATTATGTTTAGTAAATAAATACTAACTGTGTAGTCAAACTGAATAGGTAGATTGTTGAGTATTTATATTTTCAGGTTTGTGTTGTATGTGTGTATATGTTTTCTTCTAGTATAAGTCATTTTGATTCAGTTACTACAGGGCCTAAGTCATGAATGGGCTAGCTAACCCCTATGGCTTAGATAAAAAAAAACAGGAATTATACATTGTGAAGTAGGATTGGCCAATATTTTGTAGATAATCACAAATGGGATGAAGTTGAAACAGACTATATGAAAAAGTGAAGAGAGTATTTTATGGATCAGAAATATTGCATGGTTTGAGCATTCTAAATCAGATCTTTCAAACAGGAAATGAAGAAAAAAATTTATAAAGCTAACCCAAATGTATAAAAGAATATATGTGTATATACATACCTCTACCAAGCTTTGTCTATTATCTGAATGGATATATAGACAAGTATAACTTTAGTTCCATTTCTGGAAACTAGTTATATTGAACTCATTTTTAGCATTTTATATTTTGCATTATTCCAGTTATGTTTTTAAATGTGATAGAAGCACATCAATGCATGCTTTGTGGAAAGAAATAGGTCTTTTGCATGCCTTCATTCAATTACTGATCTCTACAAGCTTATGATAAAATAACAACATCTTAAAATACTTTTTAGAATGAAACTTCACAGCTGGTTAAGCCAATACCCTTATTTTTCACATGAGGAAAAAGAAGATTCTGAATAGTGCAGACTATACCCCTAATTCATGATTCTGATTCTACTGCTGTAGTCATTACATATTCAGCCAAAACATACATTGGAAAATTTAAGTAGAAAGATTGTATTATTAATTGACCCATGATTACTGAGAACAATGTGTCATTGATACTTTGTTTCAACTTACAGCACTAAGGAATGATTAATCACCTGATATTATTTTAAAATGATTAATAAGTATATTTTATTACAAAGCAACTCTGTGTCCTCCAAAAGCTTTCTTACTAAGATGAATCAGTAGACATGAGTAATGAATGGCACTTACCCCATCCAAGAAAGTAATACCACTTCAGGTGTTGCTTCTCTGCAAACACAGCCACCACAATGAGTGTGTGCAGGTAAATGCCTTCACAAAGCATCCAAAAGTAGTTACAGCCCATCAGGTAAAGATGAATGAACTGTGATACTTTACAACTAACCTGTGAGAAAAAGAGGAAATAATCATAGTTAGTCATGAATAAATTCACACATAAAATAATAGTCTAGTTTAGATCAGAAATATATATCTGATACACACACACACACACACCCCTGGAATTTTTTCTCTTCAAAAAATTTGTATACACTTACAATTCAGACTCATGAAATACCATAAAAGAACACATTCATTCTCATCTAATGTTGCCTCAGAAGATTTCAACCATGGACTCCAAAGATTTATAAAGGTAACCCTTCTGGGAAATGTGTAAATTCATTTTATACTGGATTTAGTGGTTGTGTATTTTCCTTTTTTTTAACATCTATTTATTTATGCATATAAGAACTGGGGTGTAGACCAGAGGTGTGGGGGGTGAGAGGATTCACCAGAGACAGAGTGGGGAGCAGAACAGGCAGATCTACTGAAATTCACTGCTGAAGGGAGCAGCGGGCTAGACAGGAATGGTCTCCTGTGCCATGTGGATTAGCTCTCTGGCCGCGGGGCGGGGAACCTAACTGGAGCTGCAGTGGCTGGTGATAGCTTGATAATGCTGTGTCTTTAACCCCTGCACTACACTACTAGGGAGGCCCTGTATATTTTGTTAATGTGTTCTAGTTATCATGAAAGTATAATTTAAAAGAATCACATGTGAATGACTTTACAACGATTGTTATCTATTTTAAATATGTCATCTTGAACTTGATTGTTGTGTTCTGTTGGAAAAATATAATTATTTTAATAATTTTAAAATTCACAAAAAATCAGATGTTTGGTAAGTCTTGCCTTTATGTGCTACCAGTCCAAATGCTTATTAAATAATACTCTAAAGAACCCACCCATTATTTTATTCAAATACAGGATTTGAAGGTTTGATGTAGGTAAAAAAGAAAAATGTTATGGTTTTCCTTTCTGTTTTCCAGAGTTATCTACTTCTCTTCTCTATTTTTAAAGGGACAGGAAAAAGGAGGTTCAAATATAGGGTAAAGAAAACACAAAGTAGTAAGAAATACACTGCACTTTCTTAAAAAGAAGAAGAAATTCAAAACTGAATTACATGGCTAATTATACTTGCCAATTCTAATTTCTAGTCTGGAACTTGGTAAATATTTCTGGCAGTTATCATTATATATTTTTCAGCTAAAAAATATTGGAAATGAAGTGAACTGGAAGATAAAAATTAGGTTATCACAGAATAGGAATAATAAAATTTTCATGAACTAGTTTAAATATTTTTAAGTTTTTTTAAAAAAAATTAAAATAATTCTGAGAAATGTGCTATCACTAGTCATATATTCTTTAGCTAAAAAGCTGAGTACTGGAGAAGTTAAATTATTTTAATTTTATTAAAACAACAATCAAAACAACACCCAGACTACAAGTCTTCCAAAGCCATTCTGTTTTCACTACCATGAACTGACTCAAAGGTATTTATAGAACCTATTCTTTCAGTTGCAGAATGCATGGCATTACATTTTAAATAGCATACCTTGCTATCAAACACATACTAACATAGTCATGTCAAAGGTAAAAATGAGCTATTTTTCTATATTATATAAAAATGACAGAGCAGCTTCAAATAAGGATATAAGGAGTATTAGAAATTCATATCTTATTGGATTTCTAATGACTGGTTTTATTAATCTGTAAACTATTATGATAAAAAAGAACTTAAACCATGCTTCAAAATATTTTTAAGCAGAGCAATGGTGATTAAACAGGCACTCAAACTGCTGGGAATAAAATAACTATTACAGTTTATGATTCGTGTATTAAACATGAAATATTTGCACATAAATGTAAGATTTAAACTCTCTTGCTCAGTCACTTCATGACAAAACTCTAAATATCCCTGTTACAGAGAAATTCACTCTAAACTGGCAGGACATTAGCCGGATTTTTATACTGCTAATTATACCTCAGTGTATTTCCTCACCCAATGACTTTAGAGTGGAACATATACAAGATTGAGCAATCCGGATGCACATGTGCAAACAATGCAGGGAATTTTAGAATTTTGGAAATTACCCTAAAAACACCCATAAAGCACACAAGTGTATTGTTTATTAACCTACTGAAAATTCTTTCCCTTCCCTGACTTTAGTAACAATTTAAATTGTTTTACAAATCCACTTTAGATCTATACATAAACATTTCTCTTCACAAATCCATATCCAAAGCTGTAGTATAGATACTACAAAAACTATGAAAGCAAATGATTTTAAAAATTTGAAAATATATTTGTGGTTTATGCAGATTTTTTAAGAAAGTTTACTTTTGCCTATAGCTTATAATAAAATATGTGCACTTGTATAAATACAATTTAGAATATGTTTTAAAAATAGAACTTTCTATGGCTATGCTATGGCTATGCTAGACAGCTATGCTATGGCTGTCTCCACTTATTTTTGTGCTTCCAAAAGAATTGCAAGGAAGTAATTTACAAATGTTTACTGAGACAATGAGGACTTGATAAGCTCCTATATTAATTAAGTTTAACAATGTATAGGGGATGTACAACTCATTTTTTCTCATTTTTATTAGATTTCCTAAGTCAATTCCAAAAATTTTCCATTTGTATGTACTGTGTTTCCTAACTACACAGATTTGGTTGCTTTGATTGATTCTTTAATTCAGTCGAGTGTTAGTCATTAACACTTATGTGCCACCAATAGCAGGATTCTAGCTATAAAATCAGGCAAAATTATGTGTAAATATAAATAATTGAAACAAGAGTTGACTTCCTAATTTGTATATTTAATCTTTATAAGTTGGAAATGTTGAGAAATATTTACCTGTACATATTGGAATGCAGCTATCCATCCCTGCCCCCCGCCCCCCTACCACATACACACAGTCTTCTATTTCTGGCCCACCAACTCCTTGACCCTAAGGACATAACCACCTTTTACTTACGGGATTAGTAGCCACTAAAGCCTGGTTGTTGGCCACTGCAGTGAGATGAATGATTGTCACAATAGAATTACAAACAAAAGAGAAGAACAGGTTTTTGTGCAAGGTAATCCTTTGACAACTTAGGCTCCTAAAAGGCAAGAAAAGCCAAAGCATGTTGACATAAAATTTTCCATATTAATTATTATTAATACTAATTCATTGTAATTGCTCTAAATTTGGAAGATTTTTTTATTCTCCCCAAGATTAACTGTTTAAAACTTGTTTAAATCTTGATTAGGTAAAGCCAATAATTCCTTAAAACAGAGTCAAATTAGTTGCTTCTGTATAGGTAGGCATATTTTGGGATAGGAAATACATCTTTTTTTTTTTTTTTTTTTTTTTTTTTTTTAAATAGAGGCATGTTTATTTATTTATTTATTATATTTGTTTGTTTGTTTTGTTTATACATGCACTGGGTACAGTCAGAAGCGCGGGAGGGTGAGAGAATTCACCAGAGCCAGAGTGGGGAGCAGAGCAGGCAGAAGGACTGAAGTACACTGCTGAGGGGAGCAGCGGGTGGCAGGAGAGGTCTGCGCACCATGTGGGATCCTCCTCTGGTGGCCGGGGAGCAGCCGGGGATTGAACCGGCGCCGCAGAGGCCGCGGGCAGCTTCGCAACCCAGCGCTCAACCGCTGCGCCACCGGGGAGGCCCACAGGAAATACATCTTTTAAAGGCCTTTACATACAGCTCTTCAGTTTATCTCTCAATATTATTAATAATTTAAAAAATTCAGAAACAGATAAGTAATTAAAAAGCTCATGTTAAAATTAAAATCTGTTAAATGTTAAAGCTAAAATCTGTAAGATTTTCACATAGACAATCTTCCTTCATTATGCCATATAGATTGTTCTGTTTATATAATCTGTGTATGGCGGTGATGCACTTTTTTAGCATGAGAATTTAAATGACTCCCCCACCATCATGGGAAAAAGGAAAAAAATTAACATATTTATATCCAGGACCATTGATTAGGAAATAGGAATAAAAAACAAAACTTCATGATTTTCAAATTATGTCTAAAAGACTAGGAGGGTTTGCTTAGACTGCAAATCAGAAATACTTGCGAAGAATTTACTGGAATAAAGAAAAACATTAAAGAAAGCTTTCAAAATAGCAACATATGACAGAGGAGCTAAAGAAAGGTTAGTATTTATAATACACATGAAAAAATCAGGATTAAGTAAAATAAAATGCTAACTGTAGTAAGGTGGAAACAGTTAATTTTTCTATGTACACTTAGGTTTCCTCCACTATGATGATCTTTATTTCTGTTCTGAATTCCCTTTTCTAATGACGCTGCTCCCATATTGATCTGGCTTGAAAGTTAAGGTGTTACAAATGAGCTACTGGTACTTATTTTCTCCTGTATGTGATTATTTGAGTAGAGTCCTGAAAAATGTTTTCTCATTTTCTTCTTAAGAGATAAAACAATATACTGTATTTCACTCTATTAGATGCCAACAATGCCAATTATGGGCAAAATTTTTAAATGATAGAGTGAAATCCTATTACAAATAAAATATTTCACCTCAAACTCAAATAAATATTTAAGAGGACACATTAAATCACTTTAATACAAAAATATCAAGTTTATTTTGAATGTTTTACAAAATTATTCAAATAATATGGTCAACACAGATAAAATAAAAACTCATATAATGTAAACCGAGTACTTCTGCTTTGGAAATCCTGATATCCAGTTGAGCTGTCAAATTGTAGTGAACTGGATCACAGCCAAGTCATTTCACTTTGTGTTGTGTAAATATGTCCTACTATTTGCAATATTGGCTACTGCTATTGTTTTCGGTTCTTCCTTTTTTGCCTCTTGGTTCTGTGCAACTTAAATGCAGACAGATGTTATCTGACATATGCTTTCTATCAATGTCTAGTGGTAAAAAAAAGTTTAGATTTTTCTAGTGATGCATATTGCTTTTTTCTAAATGTATTCATTAACCCAAATATAAGTACGTAAGTACAAATAAAATCAAATTGTAAATGAAAACCAAAACATGCACTTGGTAAACACACAGGTTTGTTTAAATGAAATCCTAAAAATATTTGGATTTTTTTTTCAAATGTTAACCTGCAATCAATTTTACCTATTGTAAATCTTAAATGTGCTTACTTTACTTTAAATATTTAAACAATTGTTTTATAGGGATAGAGGATGTTTTACAAAAAAACCTCTTTGCTTTCTTTAAATGCTATAATATTCCATTCTATTCTAGCATAACCACAGAATAGAAAATGTGGTTTGTGGGTCTGGATTCTTTCCATTTCATGTTCTCTTCATGTAATTATTTTAGAATGCAATTTCCATATGTAATTCAAACAAGCAAAGTTATAAAGGCAGTCACTGCAAGTGTGTCAGCAAAACCATTACACTCATGTGTAATTTACCAATGCCTTTCAATTTTCTTTTGAAACAAGAGAAGCAGGTAGCATCAAGTAAATACACATCTGAAATCTGATTTGAGAGTGAGTCTAAAGTGTAATAGTGAATCTGTGCCGCTACTGATAGAATGACTTTTGCAAATTATTTAAAAAATAATCCTCAGTTTCTTCATCTGTAATACAGGGTTAACAATAGTACTTTATGAGATTGGCTTGAAGGTTAAATGAGATAAATCAATTCTAGTGCTTAGCATAATACCTAAATTGTGGTCAACATTTATTAAGATACACACATACATACATGTAATTATATGGCTGATTTTAATCAAACTCCTTAATAGTTTCTTGTCACAAATAATAAAATAGCACTAAGAATCAATTGAATAATATGAAACTGCCCACATATTAAAACCAGTATGTTTCAAGCAATACATCAAAGCAGTAAACTGTCAACATTCTTGTTACAAAACACAGAATTTAGCATTTGAAAGATAATTTCTATATAATCAAGGACTATAGGTCTAGCAATCTAAGTTTCTGTCTCAAGGAATTTCATCCTTCCCAGAATTATCACAAATTACCACTTCATTATCACGCTGACTCCATATTCAAAGTAAACAATAAGAAAATGCATAAATAAAGGAAAAATACTAGTCTTGGTTTTCCATTTAGTTTTGACACAAGGTAGAAATTTCTAAACTTCTTTCTTCAAAACTAAACCTGAGCAAAACTAATCATGAAGGAAATAATACAAGAAAAGCCCAGACTGTGAAGTACTGCTTCTTCAGTCTACTTTGTCTAATTTAATTTCAAGAGGCTCAGATCTTTTCCTAAAAACCACAAACCATGTATTTCCTAGGAGGAAAGCTCATGTTGATCTGAACACTGCCAAAAACAACAGGCAGAAAGCAATAAATGTGTTAACAGCACAAGCAGTATGGTTAGCTTTTGTGTCCTGAATGGTGCCTTGCGGTCATGGAATCACCTGGGTAAGTGTGACAGAGTGCACACAGCCTCTAGCAATAGCTCACTTCTACAGATTGGGCTGCCAGTGATTCACTTAACCAGATTAGAAAAAACACAAGAGTATTTCAACCAAGTTGCTCAGTGTAAGTCCTTCTGGAAGAGAAAAGCTTGCACTTGCTCTATTGTATTCCCTCCTCCCTTCCCTCTATTTAGAGTTGCTCATTTAATATAACATATGAGTACAGGTCGCAAAAGGCATAGACATGTTCATTTTGTGTGACCACCAGGTTTCCTCTGATAATGTGAGCCACCTCAGTGCTTTTCCTTGGCCCCTAATGGCAGGAAACTAAGGGAAGAAACTACCAGGCTTTCTAAAATGTCTGATTCTTAAACAAACAAACAAACAAACAATCCCTTGCTGGTGAAATTCACAATAAGAGTAGTTTTAAATATCCCAGGCACAGAGATAAGATCTTTACATCTGTTATCTCATTGAACAAGTCCAGAAATTTCATTATCATTCAATACAATTGATGTAAGATGCTCAAGGTCACAATCTTAGTAAGTCATCTGTTGAATTTGAATGTTGATGTTTTTCAGGAAGCAATAGGGCTCATCTCTTTTAATAGTTATTTATTTAGTTATTTATAATTTTCTGATTTAATAATGTATTGTATTTTTTCTGGATGAAGAATTGTGGGTAATACAGAGTAAGACCCTGATCTTATGTTACTCAAGTGATAGTGAAGTATACAGAAATACATAAATTGTATAATGTAATTCCAGAGAGTGTCACAAGCCTTTTGTAAATTAACATAGGATTAAGAGTTAGATAGAGTGTGGCCAGAATGAGGGGACTATTCAAGATAGAACAGAAGGTATAGACAAGAACAATATGGATGAGTCAGTCACCCTGACACATAGTTCTAAGGTTAAAATTTTTGAGGAGCAAAAAGGAAAATGTGAACAGAAGACAAAGCAAAAGTTGACACTTTTTTTTTATTCTAAGATTAGGAAAATTAAATTTAAAAAGCATAATTTACTGAATGACTTTTGATTCTAAAAATTACAGTCTTGTGCTATATCTTAATATTTCAACTGTAAATACTAGCAGCTCAATATCCAGTCATTGTTGTTTTTTGTTTTTCCTAACTACTAGAAGGACACTGTAATTTGGAGGATTTACTTTACTTTTTCATCACATATAGCCAGTCAGTTATATTTGTAGGTTTAGTTAGAAATATAAATAAACTATGCCTGTGAGAATGAAAAGCCAGTTTGAAAATTTTAATACAACTTTTGTAAGAAAAATGTTATATTATTTCTCATCTCTAATAAAAATTGAAAAGCTTTAACCATTCAAATTACTCTGTAGTTTTCACACCAAGCAATATATGATTGCCTTTCTTTTTTTGAATGATTTTTCATTCTATTCCCATGAAAATTTTGTTGTGCTTAATTAGCACTACATTTCAATTTCTCTAAGAAAAATAGATAAAATACACTTATAAAGAAGTTACATTTTTTCAAATACATCATAAGAGATATTTGAACTTTATATTCAGTTGTAGCATTAATAATAAATTTACTGTTTAAAATGAGTCTGAATTATTTAATTCAGTTATTTGTTTTATATTTCCATACCTGGAACTCTTCCATAAAGTTATAGCATTACATTATAGTGGAACTGGTTTTTGTTAGAAAAATTCATCACTCCTTGTACCACT